GAAGAAAAGAATCCTACTCATTTTTCGCAAAAGAAAAGATTAAATTCTTAATAAATTTATTAAGTGCCATTTATCGTAAATGCCCTCACAAATATTACTTCTGCGTGTTGGTTATGTGTCTATGTACATTTTTACATTTAATATATATTCTTTATGGCTGTCTGCATAAGCATGGTCTTATTCAGAAACGGGTCAGTAAGTGATAAATCCTAAACTGAAGACTTCAACTGCTATAGCAGTCACTAAAAAATGGATTCTTGTCTTATCCAGTGAAAGAAACAATGATTCTCAATTGCTTTCTCCCTCTGGGAAACACTTCAACCAGCACACCAGCATCATGACTACATCCATTCAACACATATACAGAGCTTTAGGGGAGAAATTGTCTGTCTCACTCACTGCCTGTCATTAAATGCCAAGCCCAGATCTCCAAAGGCTTGGCATATTCTCTTACTCAGAATTCCCTCTTCCCCACACTTTCAGCATCCATACCTAGCCTGAAGAGTGGAGATGTGAAGCTGCTCTCACTTTTAAGTACAGGAGTAGGAAACTTTTTAAAAGGTCTTTGAAATTCATATTTAAAAATTAGTCCCTGTCTTTTCTCATGGAAATTAGGTCTGATTCCATTAAAAGCATTGTGGCAGCAACCTGCACCTCTGTTTCCCTGCTAATTACCAAAATATGAAGCCAATATTCATCCTCTCTGCAATCCTTATTCTAGCATTCAGCACATGGGTTGGCTTTTGCCCAGAAAGAGGCATCAGCTCTGAGACTTTTCTGACTCTGTGGAGTTTGGCATGCTGAGGTCTCGGTGGAAGGACCCATAGTTCATCTCTGAGAAAAAAATAAAAAGAGGTGGTTTCACAGTTGGGTTTTTTTTTTGAAACTGGATTTCTGTGTGGCTGTTGTTTAGAAAGAGCCAGACAAGTTTGAATGTGGTCAGTGTGTGCTCAGAGGCATCTTTGGAGATACTTGGGGGGTGGGGGGGAAGGAAACCCCTTCCATACACTGAAGGGATAAGCAGAATAATCTGGGGTTGTATCTGTCTTTTTTCATAGTTCCTAAATTAGCTACTAATGACTTAACAAGCCAGTACAACTTGAGTTGTATTTTACCCTTTTAACTTTGCTGAACTAACCTTTATGATTTCTGTGTTACAGTCTGTGAAATCTGGGGCCAAGGCAGGTATTTCCCTTTTTGCTGGAATTTCCTTGGTGGTTTAAAGCATCATAGGGAGCTTCTCCCCTATGCTGTGCAGTTTTTGAATTTTCAGTTTGTTGGCAGTTATAAGAAATCAAAAGAAGATCTCATCTGGGGTTCCTCAAATGAAAATGTTTACTTCAAAATATTCAATGGTTTAAATGAAAACAGTAGTAAAATGCAGTGTTCCATTCAAAATGTTTTCCTTAGGATTTGAGCAGTGAGGCTTATTTTTTAATACTAACATTAAAAGGATATGACACATGAAAAATGTCTGACAAGGAAACAAAACAGTTTTTTAAATGTCAAAGAAAGTGCCTTATTAGATGTTTGATAACATAGGGACTACTTTGCTAATTTGCTACCAACAATCTGCCTTTTTAACTGGGTGGAGGGAAAGAGTTTTAGCAGTGCGTGTTCACTCAGCAGTTTTATGTTTTCAGAGCACAAACCTTTTAATATCAGCAAGGCACTTCCTCCCACTCCTTCAGGCTGCCTGTTCCCTTGGGGTGCCTTGGAGAGAGCAAACCACTGTGAAACCTCACATTTAATTCAGAACGAACATTTCTAACCAATAGTGATGGATGGAGCAGTTTAATTACCATCTAGCAATTCAAATGTTAAACACTGCTTCATTCAGAGAAATTGTGATCTGTAAGTGAGATTTTATACATATTTGTGTTGCTACAAAGCACTTTGCTGTATAAATGTTAGTGGGTTTGGAGGGGTCTGAGAAATAAGTGCAGACTTCCATGATTGATGTGTGCAGAAATCAATGGTTATGAGGCAGTAGATATCCAAAATGGTATGATAGTCTGAAATACTCAGAGCTCCCAGTGATTTTGAGTGTATTCTTCAGTCTTTGTGAACCTCTGAAAGCATCTCTTGAAGGGCTTTGCTGGACAGTAACCTCAGTATTTTGATAATTCAAGGGAACAAACAAATATAACTATGTAAGATGTAAATTAAGTCCTTCTAATTAGGAAACCTGTTAATCACAGAATTTTTATTTTGTTCCTGTTGTGGGAAGTGAAGGCATTTTGAGTTTTCAGCTTTTTAGGTCATATACAGAAGCAAGCTGTAGCTTGAATACTAGACCCTTGTCCAAGCAGGTATCTCCATTCATTTTCCTGGGCTGTGTCTCATGTACAAGGGAGTCATGATTATGGGAACCCATATTTCTGGCCAAACTACTGCTTCATAGGAGCCCAGGCTTTTTATTATATTCTCCCTCAACTGTGTGTAGTGTCTAAAACAGCCCTGTATAAGGATTGAGTCTGATATATCAAGAGTATCTGAGGGAATACTTCTGTGCTCAGCCTGCCACCTTTGCATACTTCCCAACAGCATTATGTATGGGAAATGCAAACATGAGGGACTGTGTATTGGGTTCTGTGTTTGTTTCACAAACATGTTGAATTTCTACAGCAGCTTTGTTAATTATTTTAGCAAGTAAGTGGCTATTTAACTGTCTTTGGCTCTCCTGTATCTTCTTTGAGTTTCTCTGAGTTGCTTAGGTTGCAACTTCGGCCTTTAACTACTTCCTCAGGATTCAGACCAAAATGAATATCAAAATACTCGTCTGTGCTTCTACTCCTTGATAATTTTTGCAGTTTAAAAGAGGAGATGAAAGAAAATAGGGAGCTTTCTTAGATGCTTCCTAGCCACCACAGCAGAACAGCTCAATGCACCCTGATCCCACACACATCAAGAGCATTAACAACTTCAACCACAAGGAGTGGCTGAAAGCAACAGCTTTTGCTGCCTCAATGAAAATATAGTTTTCACACAAGCCCTTTAAAAAGTTAGAAGTGGGAGGGAGGTAGTGTGACACTGTGGTTAATGAATGGAGGGAGGGAAAGGCTGTTCTAGTGCATAGGATGATGATGTTGATTATTTGACAGGGGAAATATGTCTTCTTTTGGTGTAGGAAAAAAAAACCAGTAAAATGAAGTAAAGCACAAGTAAGGCTTCCCCAGCCTGTTCTCAGTCCTGGTGTGAGATTTGAAGGAAACAGTTCTGAAGACCCAAGGATGTCAGGGCGCGCTGCACAGGACATGCTAAGAGAGGCAACACTTCCACACATGGCTCTAAAAACTTCTCAGCACTTCTAAATCCTGTTCTTAGGTTTACTTGTTTGCTCCTTCCCTGGCAGCACACACAGCATGAGGCAACAAGGAGAAAACCTGCCCTAGTTTCGATGGATGGTCACTCACTATGCAGAGCTGCTTTGACAGACATCTGGGTCAGTAGATGCTGTAAGAGCAGCAGATCAATACATAACATCCATAGTGTCAGCAGAGCTATGGACATGAAACCCATAATTCAAAAAACCTATTTCCAAACCTGAAGCTCCAGCCAGCTTTAGAGCTGCGATGACTCGAGAGCTTTATTCTGACAGATGCTGGAAACAATATTAACATGCAGAATGTGTCCAAAACATCCTTTCAGACTTCTTTTGACGAGGTAAAACCAAAAGTATGATGTGTCAATTCAGGCTTAATGGCTCTGCATGAGTCTTCTGAACCACATCATCTTCCAGACTTGTTTGTTACTTCAGTTATGTCCTGAACGCTGGGAGAGGTGGTTTCCACTGTCATCCCAACATGCCTGCTTATGCAGTTTTGCATATTGTGGGGAGTAGGAAAAGGTATTTTTGTGAATGAGTTTTCATTGCAATTGATTTTGTGATTAAGTAGCTATTAAAGGCAAAATACACACCTGTTACTGTGCAAATGGAATAATTTTTGACATGCATTCAAAAACTGCCTAGTAAATTCAGGCTATTCAGGCAGTGCCGTTTGCAACAATGTGATTTTGGCATCTTTGCAGCAATCTTGTACCCTGTCATGTTCAGCCAAGCTTCTGTTACAGCCAGCTCACACCGTGATATTTTGTGGGCTTATGAATGATTTAGAAGTAACCTGCTTACTCTGGTCTGTGATACAGAATAAATACAGACTCAATGGGCAATGGCCAGGAGGAGGCTGTACATGAGAAAGAACATTTGTAGGTTGGTTGCTTTTTTTTTTCCCCTGCCAGTTCTCTAGAGGGGTGTGAACTTATTTTCTGAGTAAATATGTAACGAAACTCTGAAATACATTTTTAAAAAAAGCATGGAGGCAAGGTCTAAACGGTCAAGTGCTCACTTATAATTCTCCCTTCTGCTCACATTAAGCCAGACAAATCTTTGCTGTTCCTACTGGAATGGCAAGCCCTCCAGCTGAGGCACACCAGTGAAACAAGAGAGAAATGTGTACCACTGAAGCCTTTCTTGTTAGCAGCCTGCTCTACCCTTTTGCATCCATCTCTATGCATCATACTTGGAGAAACAGCACCTCTGCTTTAGGACTGGGATTAGTGGAAACAGTGGAAATAGTATTAGATGCATGGAAACAGAAGAGGGGGGGAAATGCATATTGTACCCATTTAGTAATGAGAGGGGGAGCCCTGTTTCTTTAGTACCCTTTGCAAGGACCTGTTTTATTTGGGGTTTATGTTAAGTCTATGCAGTTTTGCATACCACATGTGGGATATTTTGAAAGAAGTCATCCCTTGTAACCAATACAACGTTGATGTAGATATTAAAGGAGTATACACCTATTTACCTGTTAGTGGAATAACTTTGGAAGAAAAAAAGAGAGATATCAGCTGAAGGAGATTACCAGGCTTCTGGAAGTAGCTGAGCTTCTGAACTACAGCCTGGTACCCTGCCAGGTGATAGCAGGCCCCAGAATGAATGAAATAAAAAGCACATGCAGGTGTGTTTGCCCTTTTGCTAACAGTGACTTCTTGACAGGTAAGCAATCCAGTGTGTTTACTTTCAGTTCGTTTTGTTTACATTGAGTACCATTGCTGCTGACTTCCAAGGAGGTGACACAAAGCAACAGGTTACAAAAAAATGCCATCAACAGCCATTCTGGCAGCATCCATGTCACAATACACAATGATGTACCGGAATTATACAAAGACCAAAAAAAAATAAATGTATATATAGCTAATTATTCTGACTAGAACAGAAACCGACAGCAAAAAAGAAAAGAGCCCCCCACCCTGACCCCAAAGCTCCTGTAGGAATCCATACTGACGCTTTGGCAGCCTTGTAGCAATAAAGCAATAACCAGCCCTTCACATGCCAAAACCTTGTTTTCGTAAAATTGTAAATTCCTGGCTCGGAGAAATAGTTATGTCCATTAAAGCACCTTTTTTTTTTTTTTTCCCTCTTTCCACCCCTCCAACCTGAACCAGCTTCATGTTTTTACACAGGGTTAATAATTATTAAAAATAATAAACAAATGAGGGGTATAGGCACCATAGACTGCTCGGACAGTTAAATGCTATAGTATTATTATATGTTAACATATCCCAGCTTGAAACTCAGCTGCCCTGCGATTAGACTGATCTAAAACAAGAGCCTCATCAGTGGCATTACTGAAAAGGTTGGCAAAAAGAGCAATCCCTCTGCTTAATTAGTAGCAGCACCGTCAAGAACCGAAACCACCCCCTCTGTCAGTGTCGGCTGCCTGCTCCAGGCTTCGTGGTTTGCATTTCTGCTCGTCAGTCCGTTCCTCAGGTCTTGTGCTCCCCCCAGGCCCCACGTACATTAGTGCTGTAAGGAAACAGTCAAATCCATGTACCCAGCAACCCCACCCCCCCACGCCCTCCCATCCCCTTTTCACAATCTCCAGATTTCTTCATGTATGTTCATGCCTCGCTATTCACTAATGAGGTATTATTAGATACTAACAATGCCTGCTCTCCTAGGGACGTTAGCACTGACCAGTGACACATGAAGAAAGCTCTTCAGTCAACCATTAAAAAAATATTGCACTTACTTTAACCTTAAGCCCAACCTGCACAGAAAAAAAAAATTATCAAAGAAATGAACCAAGAGTACCAAACAAAACCCCAATACTCTGGAGCAATCTATCTTATGCACGTATAGTGTCTTTTCCTTCATGTTGTTTAGCTGAATTTGGTCCAGTATTTAAAAAAAAGTCCAGAAATTAAACAGTTCAAAAGACACCGCAGGCTTGTTAAGGCTTTGTCTCCCCAGTGCTTCAGAAAGGTAAAAGTTTCTTTCATTGTCCGTGTACTGCAAAGCAGCAATCTCTCGTGGCACAACACCTGGCCGTCCAAACCATCAACAGAAAAAAAATCAGAAGCAAGGGAAGATGGGTGTGCTTCACGGTCTCACCTGGAACCGAACAAACAGAATGCTTTAGAAATAAGAAGAGGAAATGAATACAGTTCTTAGCATTTGGCTTTACTGACCCTCCACACAAGCTGGGAATGCAGCCCACCGGCACAGGCAGCTGGGTTCTGGGACTCAGATTAGACAGTAAACTACCTAAACAAGTGAGGCAAATCTGGGTTCTTTTACAGGCAGGGGAATGACGTTCACAGAGGTTAATAATGGCACACGTGCAACACCACAGACACACACTGGACACAGCTGGTGGTGGTGCCCTCAGCCCAGCCCTCCACCAGCTATTTGAGGAACCAGTTTGAGTTGAAAGTCTGCAGCTTCCTGCTCCACCCAAAAGTGAATATTACAGTCATGGCTGGGTTTCTGCTGCCACCTAATGAACCAAAGCTCAGTAGCTGGGAGAGCAGTGATGCACATCCTCACAGCTTGTCCCCAGCAGCAAAGCTCTCGCTACATCACAGCCTTGTGCTTTGCTCTGCAGCTGGGGACTGGGCTGGGCCAGTTGCACGCCACAGGCCAGGCACAGGGGCTCAGTGGAAAAGCAAGATGGTCACTTCACTTACCCTACTGATAGTACCAATGCTGGTAGAACCAATGCTGGTTCCCTGGTTCTAGATTTATGAAAAAAAATTCCCCAGCGTTTCACATCAGAGCTTTTTGGTTACCCTCTCGCCCTCCAGCAGAGCATCCCCCAAACTTTACCGGCCTGGGTAACCTGGCACTTGGTTAAGTGACTTCAGAATGACTGAAGGTATTAAAGTCCTTCTCTCCTTTAAGCTTTGTAAGGAGTGGTAGGGCAAGTGGCAGGGAATGGTGAGATGGCTTACTCGGGAGTTCTGGATTCTCTTTTTCTTTGAACAGTGAGTGAGCCCATATATTCTACAGTGCTGTGGAAAGTGCAAGGGATTATTTACTGTGACAGGCTACACAGGTTTTCCTTGCACTCTCCACATGAACACCAGAGGGGAATAAGCCTCAGAAAGCTCCTGGAACAAACACCTGTGATGCTGGCTGCTGCCAGCAGCTGGGATGTGAGGCTCTGGGCGTGGAACAGGGCAGGGCTTGCCTGACTTACCACCCGTGGCTCTGGACTAGGACTTGCTGACGTTCTCATATATGACATCGCTGATGCAGAACTGCTGCTTTTTCTTTTGCCACATCAGTTGCACACACTGGTGGATAAAGATGTACTGCTCCTGGAAAAAAGACCAAATGAGTGGGCATTTTTGTGCCTCAGAAAGCATGGCAAAAACCCAAACAGTGAAACAGTTTGATAGCTCACAGTTTGATAGCCTGCACAGCTCCATCTCTCTCACCTCAGCCCATCATGATGTACAGTGAGTTATCAGCTCCTAAAATAACAGCCCACAACTGTTACACGTGGGGGAAGCATGAAATGCACCTGGCACCATAATCACTTATTAATAACCTGAATGATGACAGAAGAGTTGAATCTGAGCTAAGGAGGGTCTAGTTTACACTGCCTAAAAATGAATGAATTCCAAGAATTGCCTTATGTGCAACAAATTGCATCCATGCCACATATGCATCTGAAATATTTTAATGAGGTTCGTGATCCTTAGTGGTTTTTTCTCTACCAATAAAAAGATAAAACTTGATTTTGTTCACAGAGCAGTTAATTATTTGGGGAGTTATCAACATCTGTGCAGGTGACACTATAAGTAAGTCGGGTCAATCACGTGCACCACTGTACTTGTGGAAAGGCTTCTGTGCAACAAGAGCAGGGTTATCTTTGGTTTTGGTTACAGACTGACTTTTCTTAGCATCATCATTAGACAGATTAAACACTGTAATTCAATTTAGAATAACCTTAGTTGATGACTTTTTGATTTCAAAGAGAGAGAAGGCAAATCCTGATGTATCCTTACACTAACCTTTATGTAAATGAGGCACAGGGAGCAAGCGGATCCCAAGCAAAAACAGCTGTTCCAAACCCCAAGTCTGGATTTCAGCCCCTATCCCCAGTGGCCTGCTGATGCCAGAGATATCAGTGTGAGTTTGAAGCATGTTTCAGACCACAGAAATGTCAGGATTTCCTCAGCCCCACTAATTTGGAGTGACTGTTTCAATTCATGATATTCTTCATTCTCATCCCCCTTTTGGGCCTGTGCCATTTGTTTTTTTAAAGTTCTCACTGAGGCATTGCCAAGTTTCCAGCATACAAGGCAACATGAACTCAGGTCAGCTGTCGGTGGTTTCAGATTTTGTAAGAAAAGACTTTTCAGTGGCCTCTGTGCCTGAGTGTCAGTGTCACCCAGTGACCCCTAAGGCCAGGCTTGGCCACTGCCTGGAGCAGCAGGAGCTCAGCAACTGCCCTTGACATCAGCCCCAGGCAGGTAATGAGGTTGTACATGGAAAAAAAAATTTAAAAAAAAAGAAAAAAAAAAAGGAGAAAAAAAAAGGAGAAAAAGAAAAAAATTACCAAAAAAAAAGCTCCACAACCAAAAAACACAACAGAAAACCACATCCCTTCTGGAATGATTAACACAGTTCCAGCTGAAATGAATCATCAGGATTTTTTTCTCTCTTTTTAACATATGGAACTGCCTTTGTTTTAACACACTGAATTGTGATGAAAAGTAGCAGTTTGATAGGAATGATCCAGGATGGACTGAGAATAATGAACTTTTTTTCATCTCCAGATGCTAGTTATTGTCACTGCAGGTTTTCTTGCTCCTCTCCTCTCCCTGCTAAAACTTTTTTTTCCCCAGTACATTTTTCCAGTACATTTTTCTAAAAAACAGAAAAATAACTACCCAGTAGGTATTTGGGTAGGGAGAAGGGCGAGGAGGGTGTCTGGCAGACTCAAAGTCCTTCTTTTCTGTTTTGCTCGTTATTTGTATTTCCATTGTGTAATTGAAATCCTGTGCTTGGCTAGATGATACCAACGTGATACTTGAACAAGGCTGCCTGATACTGATATCATTTCATGAGCTATTAATCCCCTCAGCAAGCTGAATTCTTTTCAATGTGGTTTGAAAATCTCATATGTTAATCTCTTCTAGTGCATTGTTTGCATATTAATTTCACAGAAGATGAGAATAACTCATCCCCTCTGGAAGATATCCATGAGATTGCAGATATATTATCAGACCCACCTTTGCAGCAGATTAATAACGTGACAGTAATTACAGCAAAGATGAAAACTTAATTATACCTGTTCACAGCCATTTGGTCACGTGTTCAGGGACATGAACACACTAAATGGACATGACAGTACTTTCACAATGTTGAAGCAAACTGATGTTACCTCTGTTTGCACCATGGACATTCTGTAGGACCGCATGTCGGACACCAGGCCCAATATGTCGACGAACTCGTGGTCACGAATGTGCTGTAAGAGCCGATCCAGGGCTATGAAGGTTCCTGTTCGTCCCACTCCAGCACTGCAACACAACACAGACATGCATGACATGCACCTCATTTCAGGCTTTTCTGGAGGAGGCACACACAGGACAATCAGTGCAGAAAGCAGGAGTCCTGCAGCTGTGATAATCAGACAGAGCAAACCTGAGGTCAGGCAGGCTGGTTAACCTGTTGGATTTAATGCCATGCAATCCATCATTGGTTCAGCAGAGTTCATGGAGTGGGTGGCTCTGCAGATATTTCACCTTTTTGTACTACTCTTCACGCATTTACACACAGAATGTGCATGCACACGCTCATCCACCCTTGGCTGTCAGCTCTTCCTGCTTTCACTGCCACCCTCACAGAATTCATGAGACCCCTCTAACCCCAGGGGCTGTGGCCAGAAGTGCAGAGATCTGCTTGGCAGCAATTGCTGCACAAAGGCAGAGAGGGTTGAACCTGCAGGACTCACTTCCACAGCTCTCCACACTGCAAAGCTCTTGGCTTGCACAGGCACTGCACTACTGCACTTCATCCTCACAGGACAAACCACCCAGAAGAGCCTACACTCCAGGTTCTGTCTTAGGAGCACAAGGCAGAAATAGCAACCACTCAGCTGAAAGTCTTCATTCCCTCAAAGGGAAGCTTAGTGACTAGTAAAAAAGACATACTGCTTTCATTTAGGGATTCTTATGTGTGTATGATTCTTTTCATTGTGATTGCACATGTAATGTTTAAATCTGATTTCACTGACTGTGGCTTTAGAGGTTTTATAGAGTTTCACACACCATTCCAACACCATACCTATTACTAAGGGTAGAAGTGTGCATCTTGGCAAAAGTTCTTTTTTCTGCCTTGTCATATTTTTTCTGAAAAGCTTTGAAAGTATTTAAGAGTTCATCTCAACACAGTTCAATATAACTGTCACAAAACAGGTTTTGTTTTTTTTTTTTGCTTGTGTTGTGTTACTTTCTTAAATAAGCTGAATACAACAGAACTTTGATGTGTTCATCTGACAGATTCATTAACTGATAAATTCATTCTGTGCCTTCTTTAGCATTTGAGAACCACTGCTGCAGGAGTTGATCAATACTTTGTTTTTCTTCCCCCACACCAATTTCATATAATTTTTACTTTTATTCTGTGTGGTCAGTAAGACATACAATACAGTCCAAAAGTACTATCTGAAAATAGCTCTCTTTGCTGCTATAAGCATCCTACTGAAAAAGGAAATACTGAAGTTGTTACCCAGCTCTCTGATACTTGCTTCTGTTGCTTCCCAAAACAATTACTTAGTATAAATGGGGTTTGATTTCATAATGTTGTATATAAATAACTCCCCAGAACAATATCCCCCATGAAGTTACAGGGGAGAACTCCATGATTTGCTGGACTTACAAATGCTGTAGTTGTTTGCCTTCCAGTAGAACATTAAGTGCCACGTCTGGAAACTAGAAATTGTATTACTACACAAGACTGTTTTCTGAGAAGGAAAGTGCTGGGAACAGACAGTCAGTACTGACCATCACATCACCACCAGGAAAGACAGTGCTGGTAGCTGCTGACTCATAGTGCAGCGATGTAACTCTCCTCTCTGGGGTGGGAGATGCAAGCCTGGACTTCCATTAGAAGTATGTCACCATAATGTACACATATTCATCCACTACAAACATCTATTTATGTATTTCTAAGAAACCTGTTGTGAGTAGCTCTCCCATGAGGAGCTACAAAGAGCTTTGAAGTCAGCTGGGAAATTTGCATCAGGAACCAATCTGGTATGATATCACCACTAACATTGCAGCTGCCCACAGAGAGGACAAATAAATTAGCATCTTAATAAAAGGCCAGGTGACATACAGGGGAGAAATCTGACAGTATATAAAACAGCCTTTCTCCAAAAAAATAAGAAAGAGATCCATATAACTGTTAGCATGGGATACTGGTATTACTGCTGGCACACTGAATGTTCCAAAAACTGAATGACCAGAGGAGGAGGATCTGCACATCTGCAGGGGAACAGCACTCTGCAGCAGCTGCTGGTTATACTGCACTTTCTGTGTCACAAAGGGGTGGAAATGAGAGAGCAGGGGCAGGCTCTGAGCTGGTGTAAATCAGGATCACCTGCCAGGCCTCCTGAAGACATTTGTGGATAACACCCAAAGAGATGACTCTCCTTAGAAAGAAATGCCTCGGTGCCTATGGCTGCAGGCTGAAATTCCAGCTCCTCTGCAGTCAGAGCAGGGGACCAATTCTACACCCGTAACATGAGAGAGAACCGTGTTCAGCTAACGCGTGAGCGGAACCCAAAAATCCTTCCTTCTAGTCTCTTCCCAACCTATTCAGTGTAACAACTTGTAGTTCTTTCTCCGTTTCCCTGAAGCATTTACCTGCAGTGTATGACCATGGGGCCTTTAGTCTTTGCTGACTTCTGCCTGACCATCTGTACAAACTGGAGAATGCTTTCGGCAGCGTTGGTCGTGGGGACACCATGATCCGGCCAGGCGGTGTAGTTAAAATGCATCACATCTTGCACCTCATCAGCCTGATGGAAGAAGCAGAACAGCAGCGTGTTCACAGGAGTTTTAACAGTGCAGTCACGCTCAGTCGCACTGAGGGCTTTTTGTCATTTTGTGGTGATTTTCTTTTTCCTCTCAAATACAGCCTAAGAAAGTGAAGTGGTAAAGTGGTAAAGAATGTACATGCCATTTGATTAAAAAGGGGAGGGGATAGCAGGTCATTATAATCAAAGTGGTATGAACTTCTTGTTTCTGGGTTTGGGATTTGTATTTTGCTTTTGTCTCCGTGGTGGTTCCATTTTATTTTGCTTTCAAATCAAGAACTGTTGCATTTTTCAAGTTTAGACTTTCTTCCTCTTCCTGTTCCATTCCTTCTCCTTTTCTCATTTTGCCAGAGATAAAGAACAATGCTGTTGGCAAACAATCAACACTGGACTCTCTAGAGTTTTTCTTTTCAAGTTGTAAAGAAAAAAAACCCAAAAGGGAAGAGAAAACTCTTACAGGGGGGAAGGAACCATTTAGGAAAATACTCATTATAATAAAAAACTTCTATAATGCTAAAAATTCAACTGGCTTTAAATTAAATAAGATCCTCAACACAACACATTTTGTCTTTGAGCCTTTAAGGAACTCAAGGCATGGTGAGTGGTGGAGGGCCATCCTCACCAAAAGCCATATGAAGCAATGCCTTTTGTTTTTCCATTCTGGGTCAGGCCAAATCTCCCTACTCCCTAACCTCTTTCCAGTCACAGAGAACAGCTGATCCTTAGGCAAAGGATATCAAAAAATGAGATCAGAAGGCCCCTGGGTTTGGTCAAGGACAGTTTACCTCAACTGCAAACCACAGCCTTTTCTTTTCACTCGACCCCAACACCATGGTTTACATATTTGCACTCCTGGCCTGCCCCCTGTGCACTCTTTGGAACACAGTGAGGCAAGGCTGGGCAGGACTAAGTCCTGGGCCAATGTGGAATGGCATTGGCACAGCTTTTCCCACATCCCCTCCATATCCCTAACCTTTCCTTCATGAGCTGATGCAGGAAACGAGGGTGGTAATGCTTGAAAGCCTGGAGAGCTTTAATTTGGAAATTCCATGCTCTCACATGTGTTTCAATACTTTATGGGAAGACACGATTATTGCAGAATTACCCATTTGAAAAATATTTTACATTTCTGCATTGGTATTTTCAAGTTTTCAAGAACAATTTATACTAAGA